ACACACACACACACACACACACACACACACACACACACACACACACAGAGGCTGCCATTGTGAACAAAGGACAAGAGAAAATGCCATATCCAAGTCTTGACGATGGGCCTCCAGTTCCCAGGGTTTCCTACAGAGTAAATCAAACAACTCAAGGATGTCATCTTTTGAACTGACGCTTTGGGGACGTTTACATTTTCAATACGCCCGTCTCTCTCTTTGTGTGTCTCAGTATGATCCAGGAGCTCTCTCTGGTTTGCTTTGTCTGTCCGACGACCTCCAGAGTTAATGTTGGACAGCACATTGTTTTCACCAGATGAGATTGAGGAAAGCCTTTTTTTAGCTGGAACACAAAGCATTCTCAGATCCCCATCTGGGAAGGAATCTACAGAGATATAGTCAGAGTGAAGAGCTGAAGCTTAATGTGATCGGCATGTTTGCAGCGCCAGTCAACACTGCAGACACTGGCTGCAATGTGGGAGAAGATGTCAAAATATAAAGCGCGACAGCGTAAATTATTGTGAATATTGACTTCAGCAGGCATGATGGGGATTAGCAATCAGCTAATAAATCAATTTGTATGAAATAAAAAAATATGGCTGGGTAAAACTGTTTACGATGTTCTCTACAGTCTTATAAAGCTGCAGTGATGAGGTGGATTGAAATGGGTTCGACGGGAAATATTGAGAAAGTATGAAGAAATGTCTTTGAAAATTTCCCTACAACAAGTCATCAAAATGGAAACAAACTCACACTGTTTACCCAATGTGAACCACTGGATTGGTTTGCCCTTGTTTGAAAAACTAGAGCACTATAATTTGTGCCGTTATCCCACCCAGTACGTGTCCAATCCTGCTTTTTTAAATTACTAGGGGTGGGAAAGACACTTGACACAGAAGTCAACTCTCCACCTCTACGTACACTACCGTAGCAAACAGAAAAACACGTTTTCACATTCAGTGAAATCGTTCGGGCGTCTCATTCAAATGAGCCACTTCAAAGATGAGGGACTCGGGGTGAATCCCAGGTGGGTACATCTCCGCTCCCGTTATCCTCAGAGACACAGGAAGCCGGGAGAATGGACGGAAAGAGCTCAGGCCAGGATCCATTGGATTCTGGGAAATGGGGTCCCTGGGTCTAGGGTCTCTGCTGCATTAATGGCCGCTGTAGTTCTACTGCTACATAATCACACTGTGATGCTCATTCAGTGTCTCATTCCGCTGTTTCCTTAGGGGTAAATGCAACAAACAACAGGACACAAACAGCATCATATCAAGATTATGTTACTGATTCATCAAATACTACAGACAGCAGGATCGAGCCCGCTGAGTCTGAGTAACAGCTGATATTCGGTGGTCCAGATGTAACACTGATTTATGTTCCTCGCAGCATTCTTTCAGCCATCGACTCTCGCTTTCCCTCAGCTCTTTTCTCACTCTCTTTGATGTTGGTTATCCTCAACTAACCTGAAGGGAAGGGTGTGGGTGGGGGGGGGCTAAATCTGACTCTCATACTTGTACACAGACCGTACACTCTCACACACAAAGTTGACTGAAATACTAAACTCTCCAGTCTTCCTAGATCCTCATCGTCCATTTCTACGATCTAGACACAGCATGACACTGACATTACTATTTAACACGCCTGCATGTCTTGCTTTTCGTCGTTGTCACAGTGTGTCCCTGCATCCTTTACTCTTCTCGCTACATCTTCGTTTCTCTGGAGCAAGTTCCGTTTCTCAGAAACACACACTTCTCAGACTCGATCCAAACTCTTAGAACTTCCCTAACCTCTCACTCGGTCTCCTTCTCCCTCCTCTCTCCATTCTTGATTTTATTATAGAGACAGCTCCATCTGGCAATTATGACAGACCACGGAATGCGACGCACACACTGACACGTGCACACATGCATATACACGATCCCATTGGCTCCTGTCCTCTTGCATGTACATGTACAACTCATCCCTGTGGGGCATGAAAGGTACTGGAATATATAAAACGGAATAAAAGTTGGCATGCATGGCTGGCAAAGGATTATGACGCACTATCCACACCCAGCAGATGTTGTTGAATTCTAAGTTATAATCTATCTATCTATCTATCTATCTATCTATCTATCTATCTATCTATCTATCTATCTATCTATCTATCTCTAATTTCTATTCTCACTGTCTCTACTCTATTGCCTCAGGTTAGGAATGTTTCAGCCAACACGTTGAGCTTTCTAACACTGTTCCAAGTGACTGACAACAAGGCAACGCCTCAGTGCTCAGCCACAGCATGCATCAGCACCGTTACAGTTAAGCACACCGAACAGGCACTCACAAACATGCACAAACTCACACATGCATCCACAGGCGGCAGGCACACCAATGCATGTGCCTGCCATACACCCAAACACACAGTCGACAGGGAGAGCACATTCCGCTTCTATAACAGCGGTAGGAGCGGCGACGCTGGCGAAAACAAACATGGCCTCCTGCTCGAACATGCACACACACACACACACATTTTTGTTATAATGTAACGCCGACATGCTGCTGAGGGATCAATCTCATCGGATTAGAGCATACCTAGATGTTACACAAACTATTCAACTATGTGGAATATAATTGTTTTTTGACAAAATAATACCCGTCACAATTTCCCAAAGACACAATTGTTGATCCAAAACTCTAAATATTCAGTTAAGCATCATAGACGATGAGGAAAAGAAGCGTATCTTCATCTTCATGCAAATGTTTGGCATTTTGTGCTTTAAAATTACTTAATTATTTTCTGTCTATCTACTACTTGGTTACTGTAATCGCCTAGTTGTTTCAGGAGTTTACACCTCCACTGACAACTAAATGTGCATTATCTACACTGAATCCAGTCATGTTAGGTTTTCTTGTGTTTAACTTAACACCATGAAGCACGGGGACTTTGTGGTGGCTTTGGTCTTGTGCTTATCACCATCTAGACAATCTAAAACACACACTGCCACTGTGTGTGTCTCTGTGTGTGTCTGCGTGTGTGTGTGCATGTACAGCAGTTGTAAAAGTGTGTAAATAGGTCTAAGAACCACATTTAACCTCTGTGGGGAAGGGTAAAGAGTTGGGAATGCGTAACAACTGCATGATAAGGGCCATAATAAGTCTCAGTATCTTCCAGTGGTACATGCTGTGGTGACATTTAGGCATTAGTTGTACAAATACAAAATGCTATTTGGAGCACAGTTTCACCCAATCCCCTGACCAATTACAGGATAGAAAAGGCGGTGTATTGATCATTTCTGTGTAAAAATCCAGTTAATCGCAGCAATAATAATACAATTAAATTATTTTTCTGCATTATCTACTTTTACTTTTGGCAGTTTAAGTACATCATTTTGATAGTTACTAACTTTAATTTCCAATTCGGTACTTTTACTTAAGTAATTTACTTAACTTAACATGCAGTTTTACAGTGTGACATTGCTGTATACTTCCTCCACTACTAATTATGGACCAGCAAACGCCCTTTAATCACAAACACAGACAACCGTGTACATTTATATCTGGCTGGTCCATTATAGTCAAACAGACTCCCAGATTACAGAATTCCACTGGCGGTTAACGTCCAGGCTATTGAAACCAGTGACCACTTGATGGCAGTTAACCTTTATGCAGAATGACAAACCCCTCTGAATCCATGCCCATAAAAATGCCATCAATGATTCAATGAGATGTTTTGGCCCTACAAGCCAAAGCTCGGTGTCACCTAAGACAACTCTGGGAGAAAGTCAGCAAAAACAAAAGAGAGAGAGAGAGAGAGAGAGAGAGAGAGAGAGAGAGAGAGAGAGA